TCTGTCTGTCTGTCTGTCTGTCTGTCTGTCTGTCTGTCTGTCTGTCTGTCTGTCTGTCTGTCTGTCTGTGAACCCCTATGTGACACACATATGATATGACACCTGTGTGACAGCTGTGTGACACACGTATGATTGGACACCTGTGTCGCACCTGTATGACACCTGTACGACACCTGTATGTAACACCTGAATGACACATATGTGACACCTGTGTGTAACCAATGTGACACCTGTATGTAACCTATGTGACACCTGTATGTAACCTATGTGACACCTGTATGTAACATATGTGACACCTGTATGACACCTATGAGACACCTGTATGACACCTGTTTGTATTTGGGTGACAGGTCTGTACTTTGCCGGCGACCCGACGTGCGAGTGCTTCAACTCAGGAGTGGAGCCACTTGCTATTAGAGTGGAACCGGAAGAACCAGTGACCGAATCACCACTTCCGCTGAACCCTGCTGGTAAGTGTATGTAGTAGGAAACGTATGACGAACGGAAGAAGGCAAGTATAATAACAGGAGGTGTTGAAGGAAGGAATACGAGTAGAGTGAAAGCGACTAAGGGCGGTAGAAAGCAAGAGAGAAATTCAGCAAGGAAGCCCCAAAGAAAGAGAAGGAAACGGGAGTAAGCAGAGAAGGGAGAAATGGATGTAAGGTAGAAAGAAAAAGAGGGGGAGAACAAAGAAAGGTTAAAAAGAAATCAAGAAATAGAAGGAGAGAGCGCGAGAAGATGAGAGCGCGTGCATGCGTGTGAAACATCTGTTATTGTTGATAATGGCAGATGTTCACCTGTTTCTTCTCTGACAGACTGTCCAGGACTGGAGGACGCTCTCTGTCGACAGGCGACGGCCAAGACCCGCGTTGCAAGGAAGAATCCGCTCATCATTACAAACGTAACCATAGCAACCAGCATCCCTCATAATCATCCATAGCATCAATAAATGTCATCACCTAAACCACGATCACACGAAACTACTTAATCTTCAATTAATTAAGTAATTAATCTTTAAAAATATAAATACAAAATTAAAAAAATCCCGCCATGTTGTCATAACTGTGCTAAACACTTCTTCTTTATTGCCAACCTCATATATACATATATATATACATATATATATATATATATATATATATATATA